GGTCCCTGCTGGGGGGCCGGCTCCGGCGCGGGGGCGTTCGCTTCTCGTCCTGGAGCGCCGCACTGAGCCCTAGGATCGGGGAATTCGTTTCATAAATGTATACGTGCACGTGTGATTTATTTTCTTTGAGGGGGTCTAGGGTGGTGGTTTAGAGGGTTGCGTTTACTGTAGCGTTAGTTGTGGGATTTTTAAGGGCTGGTTGTACTTCATTTATATTTTGTAGGGTTGATGTGTGGGGGTTTTTTGGGTTTTGGTTGGTGTGTTTTTTTTTTTTTTTACATATGCAGGTCTTCAGGCTTTGAAGAAGTGCGCTATTTTTGCTGAACTGTAGTTCCTCCAAGGTTGTCGCTGTTTGCATTTTGGGAGGGCAGCTGGTCGCCTTGCAGGAAGGTGCGCAGGTTGCGTTGGCGGAGGGCTCTGGGTCGGTTGGTTTGACTTCTTTCCAGTATCGCTTAGTTTTTCTCCGGCGTCTCTGATGCCAGAACAAGGCCCCAGAATGAACGGTTTCTCTCTGGGCGAGCTCTGCTGGCTGTTCTGCTGCCCGCCTTGCCCCAGCCGCATCGCTGCCAAGCTGGCCTTCCTGCCCCCGGAGCCCACCTACACCGTGCTGCAGCCTGAGCAGCAGCAGGAGGCCGGGGCGGCAGCCGGGGCAGGGACCCCGACGGGATCGGGCACCTGCAGCCTGCACTTGAGCGAGCGGGCGGACTGGCAGTATTCGCAGCGGGAACTGGATGCCGTGGAAGTGTTCTTCTCCCGCACGGCTCGAGATAACAGGCTGGGATGCATGTTCGTACGTTGTGCCCCCACTGGCCGGTACACGCTGCTCTTCTCGCATGGTAATGCTGTGGACCTGGGCCAGATGTGCAGCTTCTATATTGGCCTTGGCTCCCGCATCAACTGCAACGTCTTCTCTTATGACTACTCTGGCTACGGGGTGAGCACCGGCAAGCCCTCTGAGAAAAACCTGTACGCAGACATTGATGCAGCTTGGCAGGCCCTCAGGACAAGGTAAATGGATATTGGGGACAAGGTATTTCTGTATCTCCGTTTAATCCTCGTAAGTCCAGTGTCTGCACAATTAACCTGCTGAGAGGTGGCGGGGAAGGGTTTGTAGATGGTTTGAGTTATTTCGATGGCCTCACCACACTTTCTGTCAACAGCTAACGATGCGATTTGCTGGATTTCATTTGTTAAAAGGATGCATGAGACTTCATCCCTGGGCTTTTTCTAGATTTAGAGCTTCAGTCAGCTGTACCATTACAAATCTCCATCTTGAGCAGGACTCGTTGCAGTTTGAGCTTGTAGGATGGAAAAAAAAGCCCCTTTGTTTGAGACTTGCCTACCACTGTCTACTCGTAGAGGTAACCCGGTTGAGCCAAAACTTTGACTAAATTTGGCGGTAGCCTAGGCTAATGCTTACGAAGCGTTAGCATTGCTGGTGTTCTGGGATGCGTCTGGGGTTTCACACAAGCTTGTGCGACATAAACGTCTTTCTCTTTTGGCAACCAAACAACTGTTATCAAATTGGGTAGGGTGGCGGGGTGGAAGGAAAGAGGGTTCACAGGTGGAAGAAGAGCTGGGGATTCTGCCAGGAGGAGATGCCGAAGTAGGTGGCATCCAAAGGGATGGAGCAGCAATGAGAAGACTCTGGCAAGGCAGCACAGCCAGGAGGAACAAGGAGCCCTTGGCTTCTAGGAAATCCTGAGCAGAGCTGCTGCCTGTGGCTCCTTGCTACAATGGATTGCCATCCCTGGGCCTCTGTTGCTTCTTCTGTACACAGAAACAACGAGGTCCTTTTGCTGTTGCGTAAGTGGTTCTTAAAGTAGGACCTCGCAGAACATAACCTTAAAGAGAGCTTTATAAAGCTTAAATTGTTGCAGCAGGGCAAGAGAAAAGAACGACAAACGTTTTCTGTTCTTGGCTGTGGGGTTGTGTAGATGAACTTGGCTTACGTGAAATGAGTATTTAATATTGTAGGGATACGTGCCAGCTTCAAAAATAGTGTCAGGAGTTGTTACTAATTTAGATAATTGGCTTTTCAAAGATCTGGGGATTGGTCAGTCATGGAGTCCAAACGGCTTTTGACACTGGTCTGCCTACGTCAGGTTAAAAGCATAGGGGAGAAAGGTGTAGGGGGAAGTTACCCTTATGTAGCATGTGTTCTCTGTTTGGTGAGTGAAGTTACCCTTACGTAGCATGTGTTCTCTGTTTGGTGAGTGAAGTTACCCTTACGTAGCAT